CCAATCATTCATTCTGTCTACCTGCATGTAGCAAATAAAACATACTACACGCTCAGCGATGAAGCTGAGTAAGCATTTCTAAAGCGTAGAACATCCACATAAATTGAATCTCAATTCACAAACAACCATTTGATATCATGCACACAATATATAATTCATTCATGATATTTTCAATATTTCAATAATCAACATTCATATTCAATATTCAACAATATCCTTAACTAAGCTTAGTCTAAGGCCAATCCTTTGATGATTACCAACTCTTAAACTATTACTAGTTCAAGGTACTTCTAACCAACTCTTAAGCTAGGTCATTAGTTTAAGGTACATATTTTGATTGATTTACCAACTCTTAAACTAGCCTTCGCTTAAGGTACAAATCCAGGAAACCGAACAGTAGAATACTAACTGTCGGGTTGGGTGGTATCCCCAAACGAGTTCCTCTAGTTTGGTTTATGGATCCCGTACGTACGTTTTTACCCAAGGCCACCAAATATACATATTTATACCCGCAAGGCCCAATCTAATTTGAGGTCTATCTTAAAGGTCTTCGAGATAGCCTTAACAACACACCAATTTCGTGATCATCATTATATTCAATTTTACTAATGATTTAATCATTAATAATAATTCGAATCAGTAGGTTTATCATTCATAATCATCCATAATAATTATTTATCATAAAGATCATTAACAAATGTTTAATAACAATTAGCGGCCTAGTCTCGAGCGTTAACACCCGGACTTACCGTCATGTATCACATAATGTTTTAATTTGTTAAAAACATCATTTTTATTGTGAAAATTCATTTTTATATTGTTAAAATCATGTTTTCTGAACAATAATCGATTAATATATGACCAGAAAATCGAGTAATTGCTACTGCCTTCAATTTCTTCAATGGAGTAATGTAAAAATTGATTTTTCATTTTTATTAATCGATTTTTATGTAAAATTAATCGATTTTTGGGTTCTGGTTTCGTTTTCCTGACCAGAATGAACATATAATCGATTTTTAATGCAATAATCGATTATTAGTCGTCTTCTTCCTCGAGCCAACTTTCGAAAATGCCATTTTTAGTAACCAAACTTCAATTAAAGTATGTAGAAAGGTTCTCCCAGGTTCATAGGTCATTTTGGTATCATTAATTCATAGTTTTAACATCAAATTCAAGGTTTATGATTCTTGGTTCTTCAAGCATGTCAAACACAAAACTCAACCAAATGACCATTTATGAACGTAGAAACGACCTATATGAACATTCTAGTCATTAGATATATCAACGAGCTTACCTTTGAAGCGTAAGGAAGGTTTTGACGATTTTCCGGCGAAATTTCCAGCGACTCTATTTCACTGCTCCGGCGATAGCAAGCTTTCTTGACAGCAATACTTTACTCTCTATACTCTCAGCTATCTCTTGGAAGAAGAATGGTGAAAATTGGTGAAGTTTAAAGAGGTTTATATAGTGGAGAGGAGAGGAAGAAGACACAGGTGTAATGACATCCTTTTCCCTGTTCTGGCGTCTGAGTGGAGTGAGCGGCGATTGCTAGGATTCTAGACGCAAGTCCCTGATTGGGACTAAATTGGTCCCAGTCGGGGAACACTTTTTGTTGCAACTTTCTCCGAATTGAAATCTGATTAAACCGTTGGGGTCAGATAGTCAAACTCTACACAACGATATAATTTTAATTAATTATTGACAAACTTTAGAATTTACTTATTTTTGGGTCCTTCTCAGTAATTAATTAATTATCAATTAATTAATTCTGATAGGCCTATTTTTGGGGCGTTACATTTCTCTTCCCCTTAAAATAATTTCGTCCTCGAAATTACTTGAGTCATTGGTTGAAGAGATTCGGATATAGCATTCTCATCGATTCTTCGGTTTCCCATGTTGCCTCTTCAGTCGAGTGATTCCTCCATAGCACCTTGACTAAGGGTACAGATTTGTTTCTCAATTGTTTGACCTCTCGTGCTAAAATTTGTATAGGTTCCTCCTCATAAGTCAATTGTTCGTCAAGAGTTACAATTCCCTCAGTCAAGATATGTGATGGATCGAAACGGTATCTTTTCAACATTGATACATGGAATACGTCATGGATTTTGTTCAGGTCTGGTGGAAGTTCTAACGACATGCTACTGGACCCACACGTTCAGTGATTCGATAGGGCCCAATATATCTCGGACTTAGTTTTCCCTTCCTACCGAACCGTAACACCTTCTTCCACGGTGAGACTTTCAGAAACACTTTGTCATCAACATTGTATTCGATCTCACGACGTTTTAAGTCCGCATATGATTTTTGACGATCGGAAGCCACTTGCAATCTTTCTCTGATTAGACGAACCTTTTCTTCAGTTTTGCGGACGAGTTCAGGTCCTTCAAGTCTTTGCTCGCTTAATTCTGTCCAGCATACTGGGGTTCTACAACGTCTCCCATACAAGGCTTCGTACGGAGCCATTTGGATACTTGCTTGATAACTGTTGTTATAAGCGAACTCCATTAGCGGTATGTATTGTTCCCAGTTGCTTCCAAAATCAATTACACATGCTCTCATCATATCTTCAAGAATTTGAATTGTCCTTTCAGATTGTCCGTCTGTTTGAGGATGAAATGCCGTACTAAAGTTGAGTTTAGTACCTAGAGCCTTTTGCAAACTCTTCCAGAATTGCGACGTGAATCGCAGGTCACGATCAGAAATGATAGACAAAGGCACACCATGTAATCTTAGGATTTCACGGATGTACAATTCTGCCGATTTCTTTAAAGACATATCACGTCGAATTGGGATAAAATGAGATGACTTAGTTAATCGATCAACGATTACCCAGACAGCATCATTCTTCTTGGTTGATAATCGAAGTCCGATCACGAAGTCCATCGTAATTCGTTCCCACTTCCATTCAGGGATAGTAGGTGGATGTAATAATCCACTTGGCACTTGGTGTTCAGCCTTGACTTGTTGACATGTCAGACATCGTGTTGTAAATTCAAAAATTTCTCGCTTCATAGTGGGCCACCAATATGTCTTTCTTAGATCTTGGAACATTTTATTACTGCCAGGATGCATGGTATATGTGGTTTCGTGAGATTCACGCATTAATCGTTCCCTCACTTTGCCACTAGGAACTACCAAACGATTCCGGTAGAATAAAATTCCATCATTTACAGTGAAATCGTGTCTCTCCCCCTTAGAGACAAGTTCACAAGTCTTCAAACAGTAGTCATCACGTTTTTGTGCAACGTGAATTTCGTTCTCAAGAGTAGGCTGAATTCAAAGTTCGGCTATCATCTTTCGGCTCAAAGCGTCAGCAACTACGTTAGCCTTGCCAGGGTGATAGTCGATGTGACAGTCGTAGTCTTTGATCAATTCCAACCATCTCCTTTGTCTCAGGTTTAACTCTTTTTGAGTTAGCAGATATTTCAGACTTTTGTGGTCTGTGTGAATATATGTCGTCTCTCCAAAGAGATAATGACGCCATATCTTCAGAGCAAATACAACTGCTGCTAACTCAAGATCGTGAGTAGGATAATTACACTCGTAAGGTTTCAATTGCCTTGATGCGTATGCCACGACTTTTCCGTCTTGCATAAGTACACATCCCAAGCCATTATGAGATGCGTCACTAAAGATTGTGTAGTCTACACCTGGTACCGGTTGTGTTAGTACAGGTGCTTTTGTTAGACATTTCTTTAGTTTCTCAAAGCTTTGTTGACGTCAGTCCATATGAATTTCACATTCTTTCTCAAAAGTTTGTTAAGTGGAGTTGTGATCGAGGAAAAGCCTTCAACAAATCGTCGATAGTACCCAGCCAATCCTAGAAAGCTTCTCACTTCACGAACAATCCTTGGAACCTTCCACTCGGTGATGGCAGATATTTTACAGGGGTCCACTTTGACACCTTCTTTAGAGATCACATGTCCCAAAAACGTAACTTCATCAAGCCAGAATTCACACTTTGACAGTTTGGCATACAGTTTATGTTGGAACACGGGTTTACGCCTACGTCGTACTAAACTGTGTTCGTTCTATGACAGGTTTTGATAATACCAAACCGCCGTGACACAACAAGGCTAAAGTGAGCAAACCTAAGGCGAAGGAACATGGCATGATGATTTGTGAACCAAGAACCAAGAATCAAGAACGAAGACTTAGATTTGTATTGAGACGGTCTTAATGTGATCAAGACCGGCACAAACTTTCAAAACTTGGCTCTCTAGGCTCATTTCATCAAAACTCTTTTTACAAACTCAAAAATGTTTTTCATAAGTTTTAAACTACCTAAAAACACTTGGAGTTCGCCCTAATAAAAAACCAAGCCATCCGGCGTTCGGCTTTCGGTTTTTCGGGGTTGGTTTTTGGCGTCCGAACCAACCAAGTGGTTTTCAACTTTTTATGACTGGCTTTTACTTCTGGGCATATTTAAATAGTTCTCCAACAAAAACGCTTCAAAAACCACCTTCCGTTTTTGGTCGTTTAGTGAAAACCATGCGAAACGGCGCAAACTTGGTTAGCCGTGGTTTTCAACTAAATGACGTGGTTTTTAAGATGTTTTACTTGATTTCTTAGCAAAATGCAATAAACAAATGTTTTCAATACTTGCTTTTTATTTTGGAGAACTTACATTTTTGACTTCGGCTAACGGCATGACTAAACCAACCATGGGTCTGGCTAAACCAGCACAACAGCGACGTTGGTGTAACCAACAACGCTGTCTGGCTTGGGTAGTGAAAACCATGGTTTGGCGTTAAGTCTTCCAACAGCGATATTGGACTTCGGACATCGCTGTTGAGCCAAGGTTGGATTTCCAGAAACTTCTAGAGCAGCGATGTAGGCTTCCCTACAGCGCTGTCCAACCTAAGCCAAAAATATAGTGCATTGGCAGAAAGTTTTTGGACAACGATGTTGATCCAGCAACAGGGCTGTCAGGCCAAACTTCCATCTTCAAGGGCAGGCCTAAACAGCGATGTTCTAGTACGGAACATCGATGTAGGGACCTGACCGTTGGAAGAAATTTAAGGCTAAAACTTTCCTTGTTTGGAAGTCAACAGCCAAAACAGCGATGTAGGGTTTTTGGATATCGCTGTTGGCATGACCGTTGCTTCCCAATTTTCAAAATCCAAGCCTAGAACAGCGATGTCCAAGCCTAGGACAGCGCTGTCTGGGTGAATTTCAGCAGATCCAAATTTAATCAAATCCCACAAATTGTGCAAATCACCCCTTAAAGTACTCTCAAGTTTTGCAACCTTTTCTTTTAAAGTTTTGCAAGTTTCACATTCACTTGAGGAGCTTTCTGGTTTATCAGCACTTCTTTTACCATAAAATTTATTTTCTTGTTTCAACCTTTCATTATCCTTTTCCAGTTTTTCAAAATCACTTTCAAGAGTTGAAAGACGTTTCTTTAAAGATTTGTTGGTTTTAGAAGCGCTAACAAATTCATCATAAAGCTCATGAAGTGCTTCTTGCATTTCTTCAAAAGTATAAGAGTCGGAAGAAATGGTACATACCTCTTGAGCGTCGTCGGTTTGATCTTCGTGTGCCATGAGGCAGAGGTTGGCGGCTTCCTCCTCTTCTTGATCAGTTGACTCGTCGCCAGAGTCACCACCCCATGAGATATAGGCTCGTTGCTTTTTGAAGCCAGGTTTGTCCTTGCCGCTTTTGCCTTTTGGACATCTTGGCTTGATGTGGCCTATCTCGCCACAGCCATAGCACTTTCGGGGACCGTCGTGCTTTCTTCCTTTCCGTTCAAATTCCTTCTTCATGAATTTGTGGAATTTCTTGATGAAAAGTCCGAACTCATTGTCGTCATCACTTGAGACTTCTTCCACAGTCTCCTTGGTTTCTTTGAGCGCTATTCCTTTCTTCTTTTGCTCATCCAAAGACAGGGTTAGAATAGTAGATTCATAAGTTTTGAAATTACCTCTTAGCTCGTCGATGGTGACATTTGAGACTCCAATGGCTTCATAGATTGCATCGGCTTTTGACCTCCATTCGGGTGTGAGACTCCACAGGATTTTCCTCACGAGATCCTTGTTGGCGTAAGTCTTTTTGAGAGCATGAAGATCGTTGATGATCTTTGAGAACCGGTCGAACATGTCATCGATTTTCTCACCTTCTTTCATTCGGAACATTTCGTACTCTTGGGTGAGAAAATCGATCTTGGCTTCACGAACTTGATCGGTACCTTCGTACGTCACTTCAAGTTTGTCCCACATCTCCTTGGCGATTGTGCAGCAGGAGATTTTCCGGTAGTCATCGGGGTTAACTGCACAGTAAAGCATGTTGATAGCTTTTGCGTAGTTTTCAACCTTCTTGATGTCCTCAGCATCAAACTCGTCCTGGGTTTTTGGGACTGTGGTTTCTCCTACTTTCTTCATAGGGATTTGCTCTCCGTTTTTGATGACCAACCATAATTGGAAGTTGGTGGAACGGATATAGATTCTGATCCGTTCCTTCCAATAGGAGTAGTTGGTGCCATCAAAGAGTGGTGGCCTAGAAGTTGATTGACCTTCTCCAATTCCTGCATAGAGATTTCTAGAGGAAGAACCCATGACCGCTTTACTCTCAAACGGGTAAAGTTTGGACGCGAGTTAGGCTCTGATACCAATTGGTAGAATAATAGACCAACGCTAGAGGGGGGTGAATAGCGTTTGATCAAAAATCGCAGGAATAAAAATGAATAAACGAGAAGTAAAGAGAAGAGTAAGAGGCACACCGATTTTACCCTGGTTCACCACAACTTGTGGCTAATCCAGCCTCCCGAGAGACTCTCTGGAGCTACACTACTATCTCGTTAAGCTTAACGGTGCTTAACAAACCCGTACAACTTGAGAGTTCGAGTCACACGAACCTCAACAAACCTTCGAAGGAAACAACCCTTCCTTCGAACAACAAGAGAAATACTTTCTCTTGTCAAGTGTGGATAATGAGTAAATAAATACGCTCAAGAACGCAGCACAAGCTTCACAAACATCTTAACTTACTTCTTGACACTATGCATTTTTCTAAGGAAGGAATAGGTTTTGATAAAAATGAATCTAAGGATAAAAACGTTGAGCATACACCCAGACAACCTACTAAGGCTCAATGCAAGAAAGATAAAAACCAAGATAATAGAAAACCTAGTCAACCTAAGAACACTAGACAACCAAGACTAAAACCTAGGAATGAAAGTGGTCATGGTAGACAACCTAAGAAAAATGATTTTGTACATAAAAATGAATTTTCTCAAATAAGAAGAAATAATGCTAGAGCACCTAGAAGGGGTCAGTTTCAAAATTTCCAAAAACCATCGTTTTCACAAAATAGGAACAAAATGGTTAAACCTTCTAACTATTATGAACCTAGGCACATGTACAGCCCAAATGTAGTTTGCCATTATTACAATAGGATAGGCCATATTGCTCCCGTTTGTTACACTAGGCATAGGCACCTATCACAAAATCAAGCACACTACCATCACACACCTAACACCCGAGGACCCAACGTAAATTGGGTACCTAAAACTCATTGATGTGTTTCATAGGTGTGCTTGAAGGCATCAAGTGTACTTTGGTACCTTGATAGCAGATGCTCCAAGCACATGACCGGGGATGCATCCAAGTTTCTCCAAATCAAACCCGCTAACACTACATCAAAAACAGATGCTGACAACTGTTTCTTTTGATAGTCTCACGGTGCTGATTTCAGTAGTCTTCCGAGCAGCTGTCTGATATATCTACAGACTATTGTTTAAAAACAGTTATGTAAAATGGTTGACGACACCTGTTTTGTAATGTTTTAGAGTACGACTTTTTAGTGTTGTCATTGTATGAATAAGACATCTGTTTTTTAGAGTTAAAGAAAACTGTGATTTTTTGTTGTCTATCTATAATGAATACTACTGTTGTTTTTAACTTTAGACTTCTAATTCTTGGTGTTGTCATTCAACAATATAGACATCTACTTTAAAAAGTAATTGAAAGATATATCAGACTGCTGCTCGGAAGACCACTAAACAAAAATGCCATCAGACAACTGTTATCTTTGGTTGTATTTCTAGAATATTGACTACTAACATTATTCTTATTCAAACTACTGTTTGTTTTAGTTGTATATTGATTATTAACACAACGGTGTTTTGTAGTTTTTCTTGAAGTATTCAAACTATCTTTTATGACAGTAGTTGAATTGTTTATGAGACAACTACTCTAAAGATTACTAAAGAAATTTCCTTCAGACAACCATTATTTCGCGTTGTATTTTAAAAATATGAACTACTGTTTTTGTAATATTTCAAACAACTATTTGTTTTGACCATCTAAATGTTATTAATACTACGAGTTTGTGTAGTTGTACATATACTCTTCAAACTATTAGTTTGAATGGTAGTTAATTTTTTTTATTAGACAGCTGTTATCTTGTGTTGATTACCAAATAAATATAAATGCAAAAAATACAATATATTGAACAATATATAAATTCATACATTTAAAATACTATAAACATCTATTAATTTAATATTTACATCATCTTCCTTACAATTTGCATATTCTACATGCCTGCCTTTTCAATCCATCTTATTTCTCTGCGGAAAAATCCAATTCGAATCTGTATTTCACGTCGGCTTTGGCTAGGCGTTCCATGGCGGTGTTGACATAGTCCATCGGCACAATCTCAACATCGGGCGTGATGTTATGTTGGCTTGAGTCTCCTTAAATTTATTCCAGCAATGCCACTTCCTGCAACCAATTTTCTTCCAGCAATCCACAATCAAAACATGAAATTAATGTCATTTAGTTCATTTTAGATCAATGCCAAAGCAGAGCAGAGATATGTACAACACGTGAATGGAAGTGTGGCTAATATTACATACCCATGATCAAGGAAAATGCCAACAAGTCAAGGAGTTTCTCCGGGAGACCAACCAATACAAGCTTACCATTGGTCTTCAATAAGCTTAGTAGTGGCATAAGAGGATGAACTGTTCAAACTGTGTATATTATCCCATTAAGTGTGCTCATTATAGCCTTTTTTCTATATATACCAAAACCAATTATAAACCATATCATCATCAGAATTGTTAGCGAAATGAATAATAATACTCTCTAATTATGAATAAATTAATCATAACTTACCCGCATTTGTTCAGGGTCACAACTGATCAAGAAGCAATCAACACCAAAACGTTCTATGGACTCTTGTTTTTTGTTGGCAGAGGTGCTGATGACAGTAACCCGAAGGCTTTGGTGTACTTGACAAAAACCTTGGATGAGGGGGAGCGCGATGAACAAAGTGATTCTGATATACCCCGAGTAACCACCAACGACTCTAAAGTCCTTAAACAAATCAACGGAATAATGGCCAAGTGTTATGATCCTTTTTGGAGTGAATTTATCACCATTAAAAATCATGACCTAACCATAATGTCCTTGGATCCTTCCCCACCTTGAGGCCGAACCCCAACCCTGGCCAAAACCACCACACCCTAAGTATCCAAACCAACCTTTAAAAACACAACCCAACCCTCCTCTTCTGCCCTCACCTTTGGCCGAAAT